TTCCTGGGTGGGACCCCAAGGTGCTGGTGGTGAGAGTGGTTGTGGGTGGGAGTCCTGCCCCTGGCCTCATGCCTCATGTTCCCTGGTGGACCCGAAGGCATTGGTGGTGTGCCTGGGCCAAAATTATTTTTTTGTCCTTTGCTTACTTCTAACACGGGGGACCTTCCTGTGGGAACCAGTACTTGAGCTTTGTGGTTCAGCTAAATCGCTGCTTTGCTGCTGTTTCCCTAGGGGAGGCTTTTTGTGCAGCTCAGGGTTTAATGGTTGACTTTATAGGTACTTCTGGCTCTCCGGAGACCCAGTGCACCTGGGTTGTGTAGAATCTCTGATCTGGGCCTGTTTTTTTATTAAACTACACCCCATGCAATTCTGCATTCCTGATCCGTCTCCTCTGAGTGGTCCTGCACTGACTGGGGGGCAGGCCGGCTGTCCTTGCTGTGTCCCAGTGTTCTCCCAGTGTTCCCATGTCTCCCACCACCCATGCTCCAAACACTTCCCATGGGACAGGCCCTGCTCTGGTCCCTTGTGATGACTCACTGGCCTCTGAATGGCTCCCTTTTTTCAGCTGTTCTGTCTCCTCACTCCTGTGTGGGTCCACAGGAACCCTATTAGTGGTCTTGCTGTCCTGGGGGCCACTAAGGCCCTCTTCTCTCCTACCGCCTCCAAGTAACCCCATCCGAAGGGCACAGCTGCGGCTTCTGCCGGCTCCTGCTCCATGTGCTCAGCAGCTCCAGCCTTAAAGCAGCCGTGGCCCAAAACTCTCAGAGCAGCTTTTTCTTTCTCTCATCGTGGCTTCTCCCACCTTCATGCACTCCGTAGGCCTCTCCTGCTCTTTCCCTGAGCTCCAGCAGCCCCAGCTTGGCTTATGTTACATTTTTATTGTTGTAAATTTGTTGATTTGTGGGAGAGAGTGATGCTGGGGACTGTCTATTCTGCCATCTTGACCGGAACTCAGCCCTAGTTTTTTTTTTAATTAAGATTATTTTTTTCCTAGGAACAAGGCATGCAGGACCAATTATTACTAATTTGCGTTGAGTAAAATTTTATTGCTAACAATAACAAAAGAACAACCCAATTTTTTTTTTTTTTTTTTTTTTTTTTGTCTTTTTGTCTTTTTCCGTGTCTGGCAATGGATCGCAACCCTCAGTGTTGCCCCCGTACCGGACCGGGGACCGGCAACGGGATCGCAACCCTCGGCATTGCTCCCGCGCCTCGCTCAGCCAGTGAACGGGAACCGGTCTGTATGTGGGATCCGAACCCTCGGGCGGGAGCGCCGCCGCGCTTCCCAAGCGGCGCACTATCCAGTGCGCCACCGGGCCGGCCCCAAGAACAACCCAATTTTAAAAAGGGGCAAAGGAGTTAGACATTTCTCCAAAGATATACAAATGGCCAATAAGCCACATGAAAAAATGTTCAACATTGCTAGTACCAGGGAAATGCGAATCAAGACCATGAGTCCACTTCAAACGCATTAGAATAGCTTTTATTTAAAAAAAAAAAAAAAGAAGGAGGAGGAGGAGGGAGAGAAAGAAAAGAAAAGAAAAAAGTGTTGGTGAGGATGTGGAGAAATTGGAACCTTTGTGCATTGCTGGTGGGAATGTAAAATGGTGCAGCTGCCATGGAACACAGGATGGCGGCTCCTCAAAAAATTAAACATAGAATCACCACGTGCTCCAACAATTCCACTTCTGGGTATATACGCAAAAGTATTTAAAGCAGGGACTTGGACAGATGTTTGTATAGTCATGTTCATAGCAACATTATTCACAGTAGCCAACAGGTAAAAACAACAGTTTTTACCTGGATGGATAAACAAAATGTAGAATACACATACAATGGAATGTTCAGCCTTAAAAAGGAAGGAAATTCTGACACATACTACAACATGGATGAACCCTGAAGACATTATGCTAAATGAAACAAGCCAGTCACAAAAGGACAAATTCTGTATGATTCCACTTATATGAGATACTTAGAGTATAAGTATCTGTCTCACAGAGACAGAAAGTAGAGTGGTGGTTGCCAGGGGCTATGGGGAAAGGGGAAAGGGGAGTGGGGAGTTAGTGTTTAATGGGTGCAGAGTTCAGTTTGGAAAGATGAAAAAGTCCTGGACATGGATGATGGTGGTGGTTGCACAGTAATGTGAATGTACTTCATGCCACCGAACTGTGCACCTGAACATGGTTAAAATGGTAAATTTCATGTTATATTTTACCATGATAAAATAAATAAATAAAATGAAAACTGCTGATGCAGAAAGAAAACAAACAAAAAATCCTTGCTTGCCACTTTATCTGCTGCCCCTAGAATTTCTGCGGTGGACACCGGTACGCAGAAGTGCTTCCTTCCGTGCGACTGCTCATGACTTAGGTTTATCTAACCTGTGGTGTCATAGGTCCCTCAGCTGTGGAATTCTACTACCATGAGGGATTTTAGGAACATAATCCTCGGTTGGAGAGGAAATATTTTCTGGGGAAAAGATAAGGGAGCAGTGTAGGAAGCACTCACTGGATTTTAGATGACCGAATGGGGTCCAATGGGAGCCACTGTTTGTTAGACATGGGAAGGGGGAAAGGAGCAAAGAAATCACCTGCATGGTCTGCACCAGTTCTTGGGCTCTCTCTCTACAACTCACAGTGGCCCCACAGTTCTGGTGAGTCCCGTCCCGAGGTTGAATGAGGGGGAAAGGAGAGTTCCACCCATTCCCCAGGCCTGCTCCCTGGCCCTACGTGCAGCCCACCGTGCCTGTTATCAGCACTGCACTCTACCAAGTGAGCCACGGGCAGGCCCAACGAGCTCTTTGTTTTTCCCCCTTTTTTTTGTCTTTTTTTGTGACCGGCAATGGATCGCAACCCTCAGTGTTGCGCCTGTACCGGACCAGGACCGGCAACGGGATCGCAACCCTCGGTGTTGCGCCCGCAGCTCGCTCAGCCAGTGAGCGGGAACCGGTCTGTATGTGGGATCCGAACCCTCGGCGGGAGCTACAGTGCGCCACCCGGCCGGCCCCCGCCATGCCTGTTAACCATGTCAGGAAGAGGACCCCAGCAGCAGCCCACCCCTCTCCCTGCACAGGTTTATTCCTATCCAGTGCTATTTCCAGTGCATTCTGTTTACTGCCGGATCAAGCTGGGGTGAGATGTGTGGGCGACAGTTCCCCCAACGCCTAGATTGTTTGTAATCTCTGCACCTCTTTAAGCCTCCCCGCCCCCCCCTGCCCCCCCCTTCTCCTTCAACTCCTGTTCTCTCTGGCTTCTCCATCTCTCCCCTCAGCCTCTTCCCTCTCTTCTGTTCACATTACCACCTACTCACTTTCATGTCCTGACCCCTCTTTGCTTCCATTTCTCTTACTTCAGGATCTGCCGAGGTGCTCCTTCCCAGGGTGGGCGGGTGCCCACGCGCCCACGTGAGCTGCTGACTCCGTCGCTTGCTTTTCCTGGGAGAGGCCGCCTCCTCTATTTCCTCTCCCAGATTCCTCCTTGGAGAGCTGAGGGGTGAGAGAGGTAATAGACACCCAGGGAAGCCTTCCCGCAGGCAAACCCGATGCAGGAAAACCTGCCTTTATCAAACCAGTGGTTAGTGGGTGGGTCTTCTTGGTTTGCCTCAAGGATCCCCTAAGAATATTTTTTCTTTTATTGGATGTGCATCTAAAACAGATTTCAAGCTTACCTATGGCAGCTAGAGACCCTACTGTTAGCAAACAAGGAAAAGTAGCCATCAGCTTCTTTACTCCCCACGGTGCTGGGCAGAGTGGAATGCAGGCTAGGAAACACTTTTACTAATGATGATGACAAAAAGCCCCCCAGGACCCAAGGAAGCTGCCCGGAAGTTTTCCAAACAGGCTGGCTGCCACAACTCTGCGGTGGAAAACAACCAGCAAGCAGAGGAGCGAGCTGTGCTGACGTGCCTGCTTTAAGGATGCTTCTGGACAAGTCAGGAGCTCACAGTTTGCTCCCACTAGCTCATTAGTGTCTGCTGAGCTGTACTCTGAAGACTCGCGGCTCGTGGTCCCCTCAGTGAGGCCGCTGAGAAGCAGCAGCCGTGGCTGCCTCCCAACGGCCCCGACTGTAATCTGCTCAGGATGCCCACACCAGATCTCAGCTGCAGGAAGCAGAGCCAGGCTCAGGCAACCCCGAGAGCCGCCCAGGAGCTGGTGACTCAGCACGGGACGTGGGGGTGAGACTTGGGGTGTGAGGGGCCAGTCCTGGTAACAACGGAGTCCAGGGGCTTTTGTGCAGAAGGCAGGAAGCTGAGTCTTGAGAACAAGCCCAGCAGCAGAACAGCAATCTAATGAATTCATAGTAATTCCTCTTGTGTCACTGAATCCTCCCTGTGGGTTTAGAAAGACAGATCCCCTACTTCATGTTTCCTAAAATGCAGCCTGAACCAAGGTCTAAATTCCACAGCCAAGTGACCCCTCTTTTCCTTTCCTGCTACCCACCCACACCCCAATCCCAGACCCAAGAAATTATACAGAAGCATCCAGAATGATGTGGGTGGAGATTTTCCTTTATTCATTTTTATTGAGGAAGGGCAAGAAAATGATGCCAACACATCAGGGACTAGAATGCCCCCTGCGCATGCAGAACACATGTACGCTCACTCCGGATTAGCGACTGATGAGCAAACGTGCCCCATGAAGAGAATGTCCCACAGCTGCAAAAGCCCCCTTCCCCCATTTTTGTTAGTTTCAAAACCCCCACCCGCAACCACTTCGGGTCACCTTGTCATTCTCGGTAAGCAGATCTCCTAGCAAATTGGGCTTTTACTTCTGTCGGCTCAGAGCCCCACCCCCAAAATAAACATGCATCCCCTAGAGATACAGGGAAGTCAACACAGGACGCTGGAACACGCAGAGACGGCATGCTTCGTTTTTCATCTGCCAGCTTGGGAGAGAGGCTGCTTTCCATCCTATCAGTGAGAGACGGGAGCGTTCAGCCCGCACCACCTTTCCCATCTCCCCAGGGCCCTGTGCAACACAGCCCCGGGTGTCCCCGGCCCTGCCCGATTGTAAATAAGCCCAGCCAGGAGCCGTCCACCTCTTCCCATGGGAAAAAGATATTTAGGAGCTGACTGATATAGAGCTCAACTGAACATTCAAACCCAAATTTTCTTTTCTCTCAGTTTCTGTTCCACCCAAAGGTCTCATCCTGCTCCCCTAAGGGGATGTCTGATGTCTGAGCCCCCAAACCTGGCTCCAAGCCTCCCCACTAACTTGTGGGCCACATTTATGTTGAATGTATTTAGCTGCAACAACCCCTCGCCACCCAGCCTCCCTGCGTTCTCCCAGGGTGGTCTTGGGTTTTTCTTAGCACCTCTCCCCATGGTTTGTGGTGGTGTCCTGACTTAAAGGTGTCCAGGGCAGCTGGGAAAATGTCAGGTGCCTTTGCTCTCTGTCCTCTCCTCATGAGCCGTCTGGGCGTGGCTGACGGTGCGGAGCTGCCCCTGGGCCACTGGCTTCACTGACAGGACCAAGCGCTTGCGGAAGGTCTCGCAGAGCACGATGTACACAAAGGGGTTGAGGCAGCTGTTGGCGTAGCCCAAGCTGATGGCCGCGTTGTACAGGTAAACGAAGGTGAGGGTCGGGCGGCTGAGGGACAACTGGGTTAGTTGCAGCACATAGTAGGGCGCCCAGCACACAAAGAAGACCAGGCAGATGGCGATGGCTGTGCGGGTCACCCTCTTTGTCCGCAGCCGGATGCTGCGTTGAGAAGCGGGGGCCACCGAGGTCGTCATGCGCTGTAGGATCCTCACATACGCGGCTGTGATGACCACAAAGGGCAGGGCAAAGGCCAGGAAAAATTGGTACAGAGTGAACCAGTAGAGGTCGGTGTCTGGGTTGGGCAGGCGGATGCCACAGCCCACTGCACCCCCTGGGAAGGGGATGAGCCTGGCATAGAGCCACACGGGGGTGATGCTGATGAAGGACAGGGCCCACAGGAGGCAGATCACCAGTGTGGCCACAGAGGGCTTCCTGAATTTGGTAGAAGAGATGGGGTGGACGGTGGCCAGGTAGCGGTCAATGGCCATGGCAGTCAGGATGTAGGTACTGGTGAACTGACTGTTGGCATCCATGGCTGTGATGAGGGTGCACATGGTCTCCCCAAAGTGCCAGACACCATTGCCCATGAGCTGGTGGATCATGAAGGGCATGCCCAGGAGGAAGAGGAGGTCCACCACTGAGAGGTTGATGATGAAGATGTCGGGGACGTTGCTGCACCAGTGCAGCTTGGACTTCTTCACGACCGCAAAGATGACCGTGGAGTTCCCGACAATGCCCAGGAGGCAGATGGTGCCGAACACTGAAGGCATGATGATGTTGATGTAGGAGACACTCCCTGTGCGAGGAGGTGACCCTGGGGACAGAAAGAACAAGTGTCGACCATCTGACATGGCCTTTGCCCTAAGGGCTGACATCCTGCTGTCATGCCTAGCTTCCAGTGACAGGCTAGCTTACCCTTCACCCTCCCTGTACTTCAGCTCAAGGCCCACTATTCATCTGGAATCACCTGCCATTCTCTCTCCCACACTGTAGCTAGTCCTGTCCCCTTACCCTCCTCCACTCGTTTCCCAGAGAATCCTACCAGTTTCTCTGCAGCCACCTGTTAGGTGAGACTCAAACCTTTGCCTCCTGCACTTCCTCTGAAGGCACAGAGTTGAGAACCGTGGCTGTCTGCAGAGAATTACTCGGTGCACTCCCTGGGCTTCACCAGGAAACCTCAAAATAGCCAGAAGAACAGGAAAGTGTGTGCGTGCATGTGCAGTTTCCATCTCCTATTTGCAGCTCTGATCATTTCATTTTAGAGATCGTGGGTTGGAAGCTGTGTCCTGATTCCTGGGCATCTGGATGACTGGGCGGGTGACTGTCTTGTAGAGGCTTCTGCTGACCGTGCCCTGGTCAGGCCTGCAGCCCTCCCCGCGCTAGACTTCCTATCAGGGATTTCCTTGGTCGCACCTGCTGTCCCTGAGCTCCTTGGGTTGGGCAGACCCTGAAGCTGTGTGTTGCAGCCCAGCAGCCTGAACATTTTCTCCACACAAACCTTTCCTCTTTTCCTTCCTTCTCTTCTCCTTCAAATCTAGAATTCCAGGGCATCGCAGCTTTGGAAATGTCAGAAAGCTTAATTCACCAGAAAAGTTAATCCCCTCACGGCTCTGTGAAGTCCTCCCTCCTGCGGCCTCTCCTAGGAGTCAGTAGCGATGTGTCAGACCCCACGCCCAGAGTGCAAGTAAAAAGCCAAGGGTAACAGTGACTCTCCAGCTGTCCCCCCACACCGCCCCCCCAGCCCCTCTTGCTTACTCTTCCAGCCTGAAATTTTTTCTGCAAAGTGTATCTGGAACTCAGCAGCGAGCCCTCCCCGGCCTCCCTCATGACTGGCCACCATCCCCGGTCACCGTGGACTGTGTCTTTGCTCTTTTCTCGGTTCCTGGCCCTCAGCACCTGCCCACCCTGCCCCCTTCTCCCCATCCCCTCCAGGCAGAGTAGACAGAGCTACTGATCTCCTCCCAAGAACTGTAATAAAGTTTCCCAAGCAGTTTGGCCCTGGGGCAAAGGCCTCCCATTTCCCACCCCAGCCTAGGGTGGGGAGGGCTGCCCTCCCACTGACTCACCGCCCGAAGTGAGGTTCTCCGGGCCATCAGAGGTGTTGCTGGCATTGGGGCTGGGGGGCAACAGCGAGGCTTCCAGGTCCATCCAGCTGGTGCTGGTCGCCTGCTCCCCCGAGTTGAGCTCCCGTGTACCCACGCAGGCTGCGGCAGCCTCCAGCGCCCGCCGCCTTGTCCCGGAGCGGGAGCCCCGCAGTCTGGAAGGGGGTCCTCCTCGGCAGCCTGGCTGTCTCTGCCGCCTCCAAACCCAACTGTTCTCCCCACTCCTCCTTCCGGGCTCCCACTGACATCACCTAGACACATTAACATTCGGAGGCAGATGCACATTAACCTCTTCAGTCCCAGGCTGAGGCTCCCACTTCTGACTGCCTGCAGAGCCCGGGGGCCCTTGGGGAAGCAGGGAGGGGCTGGGCTCCAGCAGCCCCATCAGGGAGGGGACTTCCTTTCCACTGGCACTTGGAGCTGTCTCGTGCACTCACAGGGCTGCTGCTTGCTTTGCAGAGAGCACCGAGGTCTCTGCAAAGGCAAAAGGGTAAAGCAAATGAGCTGTCTCCCTTTGGAGGACAGAACAAGGCTAGCCTATTCCCTAACCCCAGGTTTGGGTGGCTGGGCCACGTGGCAGGGGCCAGGGGGAGTTTTCACAGAGCTTGGGATTCAGAGGCTTGGACTGCAGCGTGCCTGCCTCCCACGCACACTGGAGGCCACCCTCAGCCTCTTCCCTGTGCCCTGATGGATTCCAACCACCTCGCTGGCTAGGATGCCAGCATTCCTGGCATACAGAGGTGACTCAGGTCACCTCAGGGCCCAGAAGGGGACAAACTCCCATCCTCAGGGGATCAACCTAGACCAGGCTTACAGAGGTTTTATTTTTATAAATGCTCTGAGGTCCATGAGGCTTTACCTGGGACTCTTTGAGACAAATATCGGAGCATGAGCCCCAAAAGAGATCATCAGTGAGGAACAGCTTCAGAGGCAAATGCACTGAATGAACTCTCTGCAGAGGTGTCCTGCTGCCCGCCTCCAGGGCTCTTACAGTGAACAGCTGCCACCGCACTCATGGCCAGACTCAGGAGCTGGAGGCTCCAGGGTTCACAGCCTGATTTCTACATACTTCTTCTGTCTCACTTACTTGTTTCATTCAACAAATATTTGTTGAGTACTTACTACTTGCCAAGCACTGTTCTAGGTTCTGCAGTGAAAAAAACAATAAAGTTCTTGTCCTTGCATGGGCCGGCCCTGTGGCTCACTCAGGAGAGTATGGTGCTGGTAGCACCGAGGCCGCATGTTCGGATCCTATGTAGGGATGGCCGGTGCGCTCACTGGCTGAGCGTGGTGCAGACCACACCATGCCGAGGGTTGCAATCCCTGTACCAATCAAAGAAAAAAAAGTTCTTGTCCTCGTGAAGATTACATTCCAGTTGGGGGGAGGGGGACAAAAAATATGCCCCCCAAAAAGCAATTTGGCACGGTCCACGCCATGGCAGGATCCTAAAGGAGTCAGCTTGGGCTGCCCTCTCCAAGTTGGCAGAACCGCTGGAGGGAGGGCTGTTGGCAAGGGTGCAGCTGTGAGCACTTGCTACAACCGTAGGGATCTCTGCCTTGGCATAGTGGTACTGTTTTACTTTCTCTCTTTTGATGTTTTGGTTAGCATGGCAGTTCTCTGAATTCCCAAAAGATTATAAAAATAACACAAATGATTATGCAGTCATTGAACTAAACATTCCCACAGAGGATCCAAGTAAATTGGACAATTTATTTATTTATTTATTTGTTTATTTTTTTTTTTATAAAGATGACCGGTAAGGGGATCTTAACCCTTAACTTGGTGTTGTCAGCACCACGCTCAGCCAGTGAGCGAACCGGCCATCCCTATATAGGATCCGAACTTGCGGCCTCGGTGC